CAATCTAGTTGAGTTGTTCATTGTAAGCTCGGATATATATTCAAATATGAAGTTATTTCTCTTTCTCCCTTCATGATGTTGATTTCATTCCAAGTAAGGATCTGAATTAATTAGCGGAAGCCAGTAAGCCACCGACGGGAAGATGATAGAAAGCCGGCGAATACCATAAGAACTCAGTTTGTTTCTGGGATCATGAATGGGCAGAATGGCTGGTGATTCGGTAATTCGGTAAACCGGTTTGTAACCGTTTACCGGTAATTCGGTAATCAGTAAACCGGTTACAAATCGGTATCGGTAAACGGTAAACAGTTTGGCCACCATCGGTATACCGAAACCGGTAAATTCGGTAAACGGTTTACCGTTTACCGATCGATTCCCACCCCTAGTTTTATGTATTTGCATGTCGAAGCATACTAGTGGACCATTTGGTAGCCAAGGATTTTTCCATGAATCTCTCTTCATTGATGGTTCCTCTTCCACACTTCATATCTATAGTCAGATCTTGAAGTCGGTTCTAGCGAGCAGGGGGAATTATATTGGCAATTTACAATTTCCCATTTAGCTTTGGAGCTCTCCTTCTTACTTCACTCAAAATGACGCGTTGATTGGTTAATTTGGCTAATGAATGCTGCTATATTGTCATCTGGTTGCTTGTAGGGTTGTTAGTGTCTTGGTGTCTTGGTGAGGGCTTGCTACTCTATTTCTTGTCCTTGTGTTTGTTTGGTTTGGTCCTGTTGGGACTACATAGGAAGCGTTTGGGTATGTGGGTGTTGCAATGTATTTTTATGTGGCGACGTGGATGTGGTGGTCGGTTTTTTTTTTCTTGGTCGGAGTGTGCCTCTATTAATTTCTCATTCACATTCAATTTTTCTTTTCTCGCTAATTGGTTCTGAATGCCCGTCTGGTGGTGGTTGTTAGTAGGGATCTTGGTTATCGGCGGTGTTGCTTCTTGGGGTTGAGTTTTCCTTTGCTTGTGCTATGGATTGATGTTCTGAGGGGTTTGGTGGTGGTGGTTATGGCGAGTAGTGGGTTGGCGATGAAAGCTTGAAGACAATGACGATTGTTTCTGGGCAACATGTGTTGTGTGGTGCCGTGATTTTTTTTCTTTTTCCTTGGGCTTAGGGTTGGTGTGTGGCCTTGTTTGTGTGATGTTGTATGTTGAGTTGTGCTTGTTTCCTCTGGTATTTGTGTGAGATGAATATTTTTCTTTCCTTCAATTGTCTATTTTTTTGGGTCATTATTATTTTGGTTCGTTTGTTGGTGGTTCTTGTTTTGTGGACTTTTTTTTAGTCCTTCATGGGTTCTCGATCCAAACTCTGTATCACATTCTTATTTTGTAATGAAATTAGGATATCATGTTAGAGTATGTGTCTCTAACCGTTGATAGTTGAACTTGTTGTCTATGAAATTCTATAGCTTAATTGATGCATATTAAAGCATTGTTGCTTAACTTTTTCTTGCAGAAGACAATTGTCAAAATTTATTGTCAAAATTTATTTGGTTACAAATCAAAAAAATTTCTCTAGGGAGCAACTGCTTTGCTTGTAATGATCTTATCGGTCACAAAATCCTTTCTTGTATATAGAAGAGAAGTACAACAAGTAGAGATAAATATAGAAGAATAAAATCCTTTATTCCTTATCTATAAGATGTCCCCGCAAGATGGAGACAGTATCAACGACTTCATTCTTGGATCGTGGCAAAAGAAATTGAGTTACTGGCAAAGACTTGGTGAGAGAATCAACTAGCTTATGCACCACATAACGAACCTCGAGACAACCATTCTAGATAAGTTGGCGAACAAAATGATAATCAAGGTACAAGTGTTTCATGCAAGAGTTAAACACTGAACTGGAACTTAATTAAATGCCAAGATTTTCATAATAGAGATTGGGAGGTCGCTAGAGGTTGTCGAAGCTCTAGAATCAAATTTGGAACTCATTCCAACTCAGCGGTGGCATGCGCATTTGCACGCCTCTATGCGAAAGCGAGTAGTAGTGTGTTGCTTATGTGAGCGACTAAAGCTAACTATGGAACTTCGATATAAGAGATAAGCATAGGTGAAAAAGTGTTTGTCGAGATTTCTAGCACAATCGGAATTATCAAAGGCATAGAGAGTGAGTGGAAGCGGCTGCTTGCGAGTGCTCAAACCAAACCATAGGAGAGTGTGCCATGGACGTAACAGAGTCTGTCATTAATGCACTATCAATGATCAGAGGTAGGAATGTGAATAATTGTACAGGGATGAATGATTATGGCAAAATTCTGTATGCATTCCACTAGCAGCTTCGCTGCTGTTATATACACAAGTGAAAGAATAGCTACAGGACAACAACCTCTAACGGCCTTACACTGTAGAAGAATGACAAGTGTCCTACCTGTACAACTATTATATTTGCTAACTACAGCTATACAGAACTATGCGTTTGGAGGAAAACGCTGCGCATTCCATTGCCCAGGAACTCTGTGTTTTGAACTTGGTTGAGCACTTCTTTCTTCTTCTTCTTCTTCATCTGCTCTGCTTCTGACCATTGAACCTTTACCCTTCATCGTCTTCCTTCAGTTCGTTGGTTGAGTTCAACAAGGAGAGTGTATATACTGGGACAATTTGTCGATAGCAAAAGCAATGTGCGACCGAGTGTAGAAAAGATACGGAAGAGCACTAAGAAGCTGTTGATAATTGGTGGCATCAGTAGGAGAGTTTTCATCACGTAAAGTGAGCGATGTGGTGGAGGCCATAGGAGTCAGAGCGGCCGCAGCATCCACCATGCGAAAGCGGTTGAGAACATCGATCATATACTTGCGTTGAGAAATTAAAAAGCCAGTTGTGGTAGGAATGACTAATGCAGTCAAAATCGTGCTTTAAAACTTAAAAATTTACGATTTTACGCTTCTAGGTCACCAAAACGCTTTTGTTTCTGTTGGGGGTATTACTAAAGGGGCCCAAGAAGAGCCCATTCAGGTGAAGGTAGCCCAAGGCAATGGGCCAGGAGAAGAAGCCCGCAATTGTTGGGGGCATTACTAAAGGGGCCCAAGAAGAGCCCATTCAGGTGAAGGTAGCCCAAGGCAATGGGCCAGGGGAAGAAGCCGGCAAAGCCCATTGCACTCCAGGCAGTATAGGCATGGAGACAAAGCACTAAGGGGCAAAGAGGTCGAGGCTGGCAAGTGGTCCCCCACCTGTGGGCGCCTGCCAGCCGTTAGAAGCCTGACAGGGTGGTTGGGGCTTCTGACAGAAGTGAAGGTACAAAGCAGTTAATGTGATGGTGACGTGGAGGAGATCCACCTTGAGCTCGGTGAGTATAAATAGGGGCAGTTGGTAGCATTTACACAGGTTGGACTCTCTCACTAAAACTTATAGTTTCATACTTCTCTCTCTATGATTGGAACTAACTTGAGCGTCGGAGGATTAATGGGCCTAGGCGCCCTCCCCTCAGTGTGTGTATGTAGGTCAGGCGTCTAAGGATTGGCTAGCAGGACCAAGACGTACCAAGGAGCGGGCTTCAAGGTGAGGCGCCTACAGAGCGTTAAGCAGGAATCGGGCGCTCAGAAGATCAGGCTCCAAGGTGAGGAGCCTAAGGTGTGACCAGTAAGGCGAATGTATTTGGGCACAAACAGTTTCCATATAAAATCTATAGTGTATAAAATCGGACTAAATTGCGCTTTAAGACTAAAAAATTTACGATTTTACGCTTCTAGTTCACCAAACGCTTTACGCTTTTACGCTTCTAGTTCACTAAATGAGTTTTTTTTCCTGAAATTAATTATAAAAAATATATTTTAAAGGTACATAACTAACAATATAATCATTTGAGATTAAAAGATATGTACCAGATCTTGGATGCATTCTCAGCTTCAATGAAGTAATCTAATTCACGAATTCCCAAATTCATTAACATAAAGGAGATGGTGGCTTATTGTTAAGGTCTATGTTTATGAACTTCTTGTTAAGATGCTATGAGTTGCTCTACTTTAGACATGAATTGCAGCTATTTATTAACTTATCTAATTTCTGTGCACTCATATTTTACATAGTATATTTCATACTAACAGATTTTTAGCAATTTTACACTATGCGTCAAAAACTTACGCTTTTGCACTTTGATTCTACGCTTTACGATTTTACTCATTTTTCGCTTTTAGGTAGAATCGCGCTTTTAAATACATTGGGAATGACCTTAATTCCTAGAAAATAATTGACTGTTCCTTGAGAGAAAATCCTCAAAGAAGAACTTCTTCAAATACATGAAAAGCTGTCAAATCATTACAAGTAAAAAAGAAGATCATCCACATATACTAATACCATGAAATAAAGAGTAAGATGCTGGCAGTGATAAACAAAGATGGAAACATCAAAGTTCGTTTTACCAAACCCATACTCCTGAAGAAAAGCAGTCAGAGTTGTATACCACACCCTTGGACGCTTGATGAAAACCATATTTAGCACGATGAAGCCGACAAACCATCTTTGCTGAAATAGAGAAGTCAGGGGCTGAGCTATGTACACTTCCTACAGAGGATCTTGCAAAATTGCATTATTAACATCATATTGAAGAATAGATCAATTTTGTGACAGAGCTAGTATAAAGACAACACGACCAGTGAGTCAGTGAAACGCTTGACAACTGGGCTGAATGTATCATGACAGTCCATACCAAAGTGTTGATGACAACCCTTGACCACAAATACCACACTAAAATATGCATTCGAAACCACTATAGATTCCACTCTTATAAGGTATTCCCGTCCCAGTTAAATACCGACTACAAATGTGATTCTCTCGACAAGGTAAACCCCAATTATCTAATCCTGCTTCGTCGAAAGAATCTTGTCGAGAGTGCAAAGCAGAAACCCAGATAAACCCCCAGGTCGCTAATAGTAAAAAGATTATCACTGTAATTGCTAATGCCACACAGGCAATGCCAGAATTCGACCCTCGCTACATGGTTTCAAACACCGTACTATATTCAATGAGATGTTTGGCAAATGTGCGCCACCGGAATCTAGCTGCCAAGAATTTCAACAAATGAATTCTGCGATGTGGAAATGCTATTCCCAGCAGAAAACACCGTCTGAACCATCTGCCTCCACATTCCCATTTTGGGCACAAATCCCTGCCTCAACATTTGCTTCAAAACCCAGTCCAAATCCTCACCAATCAACTTTTCTCTGCAAATCCCATGAATCAACTTCTTATACGACACAAAACTCGGGTTGAATCCAAGACAAACCATCCTACTCATAAACTCTCTTGCCTCCTGAAACCTCCCGACATCGAGCAAACCATACAAAACCTCTTGATATGACGCCTCATTGGGCTCGCATCCTTTCCTTTTCATGCTCTCTAAAACTTCCATTCCTTTCTCGACCCTCCCCTGCTTTCTCAGGCCCGAGATCAAAACATTGAACGTCACTGTATCGGCATCCACGCCCTCCTTCTCCATCCTCCCAAGCAATTCAAACGCCTCATCCACCTTTCCTTTTTCACACAAGCAGTGCATCAGCGTCGCAAAAGTCCTCGCATTAGGTTGGCACCTCTGCTGAGGAAATTCGTCGAGCACCTGGCGTGCACCTTCCAGATCCCCATTCTCACACATCCCTTTGATGAGAATGTTGAGGCAGCAAGCATCGATTTCAACACCCAGCATCGGGGCACTCAAGTACACCTCTCGGGCAACATCGAAGATCTTGGCGGAGACAAGCAAGTTAAGAACAAGATTGAAAGTCCTGACCTTTGGCCAGCAGTTGAACCGTTGAGGCATGTCGAGCAGGGTCTCCATGGCCTTCCTGATCCTTCCGGCGGAATGGCCGTATATCTTGATGACATTGAAGTAGAAGTCGTCGGACAAGGGGTTGGCGAGAGGGAGTCTGTGAAGCTTTATGGACTCCATTAGGGATTCAATTGCGTCAAAGTTTTTGGTGTGAGCGAGGTTGGTGACTAGGAGGGTGAGAAGGAGCTCGTTGGGTTTGAAGTCTCGGCGGAGACAGTATTGGTTCCAGGAGGAAGTTAGGGAAACTGGGTCGGTTATGGATTCGAAGATTTTGAACACTTCTTGTGGAGAGAGCCAGTCTTTATGCCTGAGTTTAGGATGCGCCGCAGAGGTTTGAATTGTCGAAGATGAAGAAGAAGAAGTGGAAGGGAATTGGATTGTGGTTGTCATTGAATGGCATGAGAAAACAGAGTGTGAAAGGAAGAATTGGCGACTTCTTCCGCAGAGACATGAATGGCGAATCATTGATCAGTCCGCCGCTTACAATCCCGGCGGTGAATATGAAAACAAAGGTTGTCGAACTTGTTTCTACTTTCTAGCCTTGCCCCGGTTTAACGAAAAAATCTCAAGTTACACATGTTTTTAAAAAAAATTCTCAAAATACACAAGTTATGAAAATAATTCCCAATCTACGTTAGTTTGGGCCATCACCGCTGTCGACGAAGACAGTGATTGCATCACTGTTGTCGACGAAGACAGTGATTGCATCACCGCTGTCGACGAAGACAGTGATTGCATCACTGCAGTACACGGCCGCGGTGAAGGCCTGACCTGCGTCGAAACTTTAAACAAACGTAACTTTGTGCTCGGTTATCCGATCGTAGAGAAATTTTTTTTGATTCCGCATAATTTTTTGAGATCTTGCAAGCCGCAAATTTCCGTAGGCGGTTTGGTCCCGCCTTCGTCTCGAAAATATGTCGTTTGCTACTTCGAACGAGCCTTTTTTCGATTTCGTCAAACTTTGAACGACCATAACTTTGTGCTCCACAATCCGAAAATCATGAATTTTTTTTTAATTTCGCATAAATTTTTAAGGACTACAATATTTAGTAGGAGAGAATTTTCAAAAAATGAATTATTTATGGATATAAGGGATTTTGGGAATAACTTTACCTTCCTTTTCAGGAATCCAAGTACATTCCGAAAATATGTCTATGATAAAAATTGTAGTCCTTAAAAAGTTATGCGAAATAAAAAAAAATCATGATTTTTGGATTGTGGAGCACAAAGTTATGGTCGTTCAAAGTTTGACGAAATCGAAAAAAGGCTCGTTCGGGGTAGCAAACGACATATTTTCGAGACGAAGGCGGGACCAAACCGCCTACGGTAATTTGCGGCTTGCAAGATCTCGAAAAATTATGCGGAATCAAAAAAATTTCGCTACGATCGGATAACCGAGCACAAAGTTACGTTTGTTTAAAGTTTTGACGCAGGTCAGTCCTTCACCGCGGCCATGTACTGCAGTGATGCAATCACTGTCTTCGTCGACAGCGGTGATGCAATCACTGTCTTCGTCGACAGCGGTGATGCAATCACTGTCTTCGTCGACAGCGGTGATGCAATCACTGTCTTCGTCGACAACAGTGATGCAATCACTGTCTTCGTCGACAGCGGTGATGGCCCAAACTAACGTAGATTGGGAATTATTTTCATAACGTTTGTATTTTGAGAATTTTTTTTTTTTTAAAACATGTGTAACTTGGGATTTTTCCCCCGGTTTAACGAGTGGTGGAATCAGGAATGGTTTACCCGGTAGTAGAATTGATTTGTATCGTTTCAAGTAGAAATGTGCAAAAATAATAATATCAAATGAATTTAATTATATATAAAAATATATTAGAAGATAATATACTTATAATTTATATTCGTATTTGAATAAAATATGGCATTCAACATCAATACCTAAACATCAATATTTAAACCCAACAAATAATATCAACATTTAATTTTTATATTCATAAAATAAATAATAATTTAATTATTTTATCAATTAAATTCACTAAAATGATGTCATTTTGTTTAGAGGTCGTAAATCGATTATGTTGGTCATACCGGTGGTGTCCATGTAAGTTACTTGACTGATGATAGGGCAAAAGCGTAATGCTTCAAATCCTATCTTGTAGTAAAATCGAAAATTTGGGTATTGTCTCTTAGGGATTGGTCCAACCTTATGTTCTCTCAATTTTATGGAGCAAACTATAAGTAAAAATGGTTTGAGTGATGAAACTCTTATCTAATAGCAAAATAATTAAAGTTGTGGGGTTCTCTGTTGTTCCGGATTCTTTTTCCCCTTTCTTAATGCAATTCACCATTATAAAAAAAAATAGCAAAATAATTAAATAAAACAAGCAAATTAAAGTTGTGGGGTTGAAATCAATAGGAGAAAGCTCTGAGAGAAACAATTAATCCATATCACGATCGGTAGGGGTGGGCATTGGGTGGGTCGGGTGGATTTTGACCATAAAATGCACCCACCCGCGCTTAAACGGATTGATAATTTTTAACCCACCACCCACCCACATTTAGTCTCGGGCTGGGTCGGACGGATGGTGGATAATGCGGGTGGGTTTGTGGGTTCACCCACATCACAATGTATATAATATAAAGGAGTCAACTTGACATGATAATAGGTGAAGAGAATCATCGAGGGAAACAAGAAGTTGAAATAGGACGAAAAATGTCGAATTAGTTCTTAAATTGGATAGAAATTCTATTATGAAAGAGTTTTCTACAGATTGAGACGATTATTAGGTGCAAGGAACTAAGGAAAATAATTCCACAAAGGAAAGAGCGGTGATCTAGGCACAAGAATTAGAGGAAAAAGTAAAGGGAAGAAGAGGGGATCTCTATTTGGAAGGTTGGCTTTGAGGTTCAAACTCTAGGAGTAGTCCGAATTTATATCTAACGTCTCCACTCTCCTCTCTCTAGCGCCAACGAATTTGATCTTTTTGCTGTTGGGTTGAGCGGGTCACCCGCACACTCACCCACAACCCACCCACCACCTGGCGGATGGCTCCCAGCGCAACCCGTCACCCACCCACAGACCCATCCACTTAACAAAATTCGGGTCAAATGCTGGTGGGTCGGCCCAAACCCGCGGATGATCCGCCCGCATGCCCAGCCCTAACGATCGGTTTAATCCATATCACTACAACCAGGATATCAATAATGTGCTAGCTATCCCTGTTAGGTATTACTACGTACTAAACAATTAAATCAAATCCTACTGGCGTAGCTCAATGAATTAACTATTTAACCTGAAGACCGATATCCCAATCAAGACCACATAGCACCTTATTTAATCCACTGTCACTTCGATAAGTTACTATGTCACATGAAATAAGTTCATTTATTAGGGTTTCACTGTCGCTAATAACCTAATCAACAACAAATCAATGTATTGGTGGCGAGTCAACACAAAATATTAAGCAAATTCAAGCAATATAGATGGGAAGAAAAGAAATATGAATAAATTCATCAAGTTTAGAAATAGCTACATCCAGGGGCGGAGACATGCATGTCTAGGGGTGTCCCGGGACACCCCTAAAATTTGAAAACACGATTATTCAACCTCCGATAGTAGTTTGTATATGAGGGGAAAAAATGTTTAAGTGGTAGTGGGACACCCTTAAAATTTGGAAAAACGATTATCCAACCTCCCATAGTAGTTTGCGTATTAGTACAAATAATATTTTAGTAGTAGTTTATGTGATTTAAACTTGAGACACTGCCACTATTAGTAAACATATTTTCAATTACACTACAACTCATTTGTTATTTTGTTTTAGATCCAAATATAATCGTAAAATGTTATTCTTATCCCAAATTATTTTTAAAACCTAACGATTAAACCCAATTACTGGATACCCTTTTCTAGTAGGATATGTCGAAAGATCATTGTGGAGCAGTATAGACACCGAATGTATTTTACCATTTTACGAAACATGTCTAAACTTTTAATGTAACTTTTATTAGTCAGATATTTTCATATTTAATAATTATTTAATTTAATTTTAATATTTAATTTAATTTAATTTTTGAAGAGGACACCCCTATGTAGAATTTCTGGATCCGCCACTGGCTACATCCTATGATGTTTCTCTCATAAAAATCCATACCATAGAAATAAAAAATATCATAACAAATCCATACAAGTGAAATTATTTTATAATGAGAGCGAGATATGTTTTGTTTCTCTTAACATTGTTTTAGCTCTTTTTTTTTTTTTTGTCATAGAAACCCTTGCGGATTAACTAGATAAGCACGAGATAGCCACAAAATAACGGCTTCTTCGTGAGAAGATAGTCAAAGGAGGAATGAACAGTTAAAACGAACACTACTAGTGCCAGAGTAGCATAAGGCATTACGTGCCACAACATGGGCAGCCCTATTCGCTTCTCTAGGAGTAAAAACAACATAAACCAGCGGCATTTCCTGTAACATTAAGATGACTTCTCGTAAGACAGCTCCCGCAAGAACATCGTTGGCATCAGAAACCGTCAAATGGTGAACAACAGCAAGAGCATCACTTGTGATCACGACCGGTCGATCCTGCCACTGCCATTGACGAAGTAATAAAAGCGCTTCTCGAATTGCCAACACCTCCATAATCTTGGGATGAAAAAGACCAGGGAAGAAACCACCCCTTGCAAAAACTGGCACAAGATGATCAAAGCCAACCATACCGATGGCGCCATGAGTCGGAGCCCTGGTAGCCCCATCAACAGCAATGCGGAAACTAGATTGAAGCAACGGACGAGAATGTGGCCGGGGTCTGGGCGGTAACGGAGGCGACTGACAGGGAATGACGGCAATTTGATGAGAGGCATGATGTGAGAGGAGTTGACGGTACAAGGCAGCAGTGGTAAATTGCGCATAGGGTGTGAAGACAACATTGTTCCGCCCTTTCCATAGTCGCCAAAAAAAGAGAACCCAATTGATTATGGTAGAATGATCGAAATTGAGAATAATGTGCCTTAAAAAGATGGATAAATGAGTGTTTGGAAAAATTCCCGGAGGCAGCTGTAAGCCACACCGATGGCGGAGGGCAAGTGCCACACGACACGAAAGAAATAAATGCTCCAGCGACTCCCCCTCTTCTGAACCACAAATAGGGCATAAATTTTCCACCTGCACACCATGCCGAGCAAGATCCTCTCTAACCGGTAGGATTCTTAATAAAATCCTCCATAGGAAAAATTTTAATTTGGGCGCCAGAGGAAGACCCCAAAGTTGAGGCCATAAATTAGGATCAAGTGGAGAAACCTGGTCTACTGAACCATGAGACCGGGCAACTGGACACAAGGTAGTCGCTAACCGATAAGCCGACTTTACCGTAAATAAGCCATGAGGATCAAAATGCCAAATCAACTTATCCGGGCACATGAGTCGTGGCAAAGGTATGCGAATGATTCATGTAATGGAATCCTGCGTAAAGAACTCTCCAAGACGTTGAAGGTCCCAAG